GGAGGGGGTGCAGTTCTCACATCTTGCTATCTTGTTAATCGTATGTCATCTTCAGCTATCCAGAATCAAGTTCCATTTGTTGTTCTATTCTCCCACTTACCTTTGTTCTCTCTTCCACCCCGTGTCTTTTGGAAGCACGTGTTTTGTTCATAACCTTACTCCAAAAAAATATAAGTTAGCTCCTCGTGCTCTTAAATGCGTATTTTTGGGTTACTCGAGAACGCAAAAGGGGTATTAAAGCTATTCTCCTGACCTCCAACGGTACCTTATGTTCGTTGATGTTATCTTCTTTGAAACCCAATCATACTTCACAGGTCCAGGTAATCACTTAGATATTTCTGATGTGCTACCAGTTTCATCTTTTGGAGATTCCGTCACTATCTCCCCTTCATTTTCCTCTACAACTCCAACCCCACCACCTACGGCTCTAGTTGTAGCTCCACCACATATAGCTCCAGTTCCACCTTCTGCAGCTCCACCACTCTTGACTTATCAGCAGATTCTGCACCTACTACAGACTTGTCTCCTCTTAGTCAACCAATTGCACTCCGCAAAGGTGTACGATCCGCATTTAATCCTTAATCCCCATTATGTCGGGTTATGTTATCATCGTCTGTCATCACCTCATTATGCTTTTATATCATCTTTGTCCATTGTTTCTATCCCTAAGTCTACAGGTGAGGCACTATCTCATCGAGGATGGCGACAGGCTGTAACTGACGAGATGGCTGCCTTACATGCGAGTGGCACTTGGAGCTTGTTCCTCTTCCTTCATGTAACTACTGTTGGTTGTCGTTGGGTTTATGCAGTCAAAGTCGGCCTGGATGGCCAGGTTGATCGGCTTAAGGCTCGTCTTGTTGCAAAAGGATATACTCAAATATTTGGGCTTGATTATAGTGACACTTTCTCTCCCGTGGCTAAAGTAGCATCTGTTCGTCTTTTTTTGTTCATGGTTGTTATTGGCCTCTTTATCAGTTAGACATTAAGGATGCTTTTCTCCACGGTGATCTTGAGGAAGAAGTTTATATGGAGCAACCACTTGGTTTTGTTGCTCAGAGGGAGTCTAGTGGTCTTGTATGTCGATTGTGCAGGTCACTATATGGTTTGAAACAATCCCCTCGAGCTTGGCTTAGTAAGTTTAGCAGAGTTATCCAGGAGTTCGGCATGACACGTAGTGAAGCTGATCACTCTGTGTTTTATCGACATTCTGCTCTTAATTTGTGTATTTATCTGGTGGTTTATGTTGATGATATCGTTATAACTGGCAATGATCATGATGATATTACTAATCTGAAGCAGCATCTCTTTCAGCACTTCCAAACTAAGGATCTGGACAGATTGAAGTATTTTTTAGGTACTGAGGTCGCTCAGTCTAGCTCAGGTATTGTTATTTCACAGCAGAAGTATGCCTTAGACATTCTTCAGGAGACTGGAATGATGGGTTGCAAACCTGTTGACACTCCTATGAATCTGAATGCTAAGCTTCTTCTAGGACAGGGGAGCCTCTTAGAGATCCTACAAGATATAGGAGGTTGGTTGGCAAATTGAATTACCTCACGGTGACTAGACCTGACATTTCTTTTCCGGTGAATGTTGTAAGTTAGTTTATGGATTCTCCCTATAATAGTCACTGGGATGCAGTTATTCGCATTCTTCGGTATATAAAGTCAGCTTCAGGCAAAAGATTACTATTCGAGGATCGAGGCCATAAGCAGATTGTTGGGTACACAGATGCTAATTGGGCAAAATCACCTTCTGATAGACGTTCTACGTCTGGATATTGTATTCTAGTATGAGGTAATTTGGTCTCCTGGAAGAGCAAGAAACAGAATGTAGTTGCTCGATCTAGCGCTGCAGCCAAATATCGGGTCATGGCTATGGCAACGTGTGAGCTAGTTTGGGTCAAGCAGTTGCTCAAGGAGTTGAAATTCAGAGAAATCAGAAAGATGGAACTGGTGTGATAATCAAGCTGCTTTTCATATTGCGTCAAATCCGGTGTTTCATGACAGGACTAAACACATTGAAATCGACTGTCACTTTGTCAGAGAAAAGATACTCTCAGGAGATATTGTTACAAAGTTTGTGAAGTCGAATGATCAGCTAGCAGATATTTTCACTATGTCTCTTACTGGTTCTCGTATTGGGCACATCTGTAACAAGCTCGGCACATATGATTTATATGCACCGGCTTGAGGGGGAGTGTTAAGTAGTTAGTCATGTATAGTGTCCCACATCGGGAAGTAGATACCTATTATCATGTAATCACTGTATATAAATAGGGTGTTGTACAACACTTTAATTAATTAATAATATTTTCTCCCGTGCTTTTTCACAGAAACCAAACATAGAAGCTATAACTCAAGAAGCACAAGCACATTTTTTCGAGCATCCTATCACTACCTCACTCCCCCCACCCCCAAAAAAATAAAATAAAAAAAGAATAATAAACAGATGTCCAAGTGTGAATTTCCACATACTTGCATATAAAACAACTTCCAGAAACCACAACTAAAAGAAGAAAAAAAAATACCCGTTGCTTTTCGAGTTTGGCACCTTGATCCTCTATGTTTTTCAATTCACTCTTAACTGCCCTGAGATTATCTTCAAATGCAGAAACGGCTTCTTCCAACTCAAGTTTCTGGGACTTGAGCCTCTCAACTTCCCCCGCATCCACATCTGAAGAAAATACTTGGACTAAACCAAAAAGTTTTCGGACGAGGCATTAATACATAAAAACAAAGGGCTAGTGAGATACTGCATAGCAAAAGGCGAGAGTGTTCCACTGATTCAACAGTGCCAGAAACATGACCACCATATCTGGATTTTTTCCATCTGTAATGATTTTCAGGGGTCCATAAATCAAAGATGCCCAATTGCAACGCCTCATCAGCTCTCTTATCAGTTTCACGTGAGCCTATGTACTGCAAAAAAGCAACAGATCCCATTAATGTTTATCCGGGAAAAAAACTTGTTTCTGCTTCAATTGTTCGCGAACTCATTCTATTGGCTTTCACTGGGATGCTCGTTATTCCTTATGTGTGTCAGTCCCCTTTATAAAATCATCTATTAGCACAAAAAGGAAGGGAGAGTTTGTCCAGGTAGCAAGCCACAGCTGGGTTGAGATATGGCCTCTCCAAAGGTATCAGGTTAAAGAAGATGTGGAATTGCAAAATTTTACTTGTGGGTAAAAAAGACTTTGTTGATACAAACTTATGAATAGGTAAATATAGATACTTATCAAAAGAAGATTTCGGGTATGTCGATTCACAATATTCGTGTACCCTTATGTTAATCTACTAAAGCTAAGTTCAGAAGAAAATATCTTAAGTTTTTTAGAATAGTAAGCCTACAGAAGAATCCAGCCCAAATTGGTCGATTAGAACTTCCTTGACTGCATCTGGAGCGTCAAAGACTTGGTCAAGCCTTGAATGGATGCCTAGCATACGCATCTGTGGAAGATAATAACAAGAAAACCAAATTAACAGATAGATTAGCATCAAACAGGAGGTCTTAGAGAAGCTTATACATACCTCCTCAGTAATTTTAAAGGGAACACGGCTCTGGCGTTCATCCACTACATTTAAAACAGGAAGATTAAATGATCGCATATTTCTAACTAAGAAGTCACGGTCAGTTGCATCTTGTGTTATAAAGGCCTGCATATGTCAATAAATAAGAGAACTGATGAGATGAGAAACAATTTTTCAGTAGCACTAAATCAGACTAATAACCTTGATTCCGGAAACCTTATTTTTTTTGAAATGGTAAGGTATTATAGATATCAAAAAATCAGCACTAAGAGAGTGCTGTGGTTACATCCCAGAAAACAACAAAAAAAGAAAAGAAAACCCTCTACAGAAGTTATCATTTCTACAGAAGTTATCATTTTTTTTGGAAACCTTTTGATGTCTCCGCTTGTACATTCTACAGAAGTTATCATTTCTATAAGCATGCAGTATGCCCATGCAATGACAAAAACACCTTACTCAAAGTTACAACTTAAACTAGAAAACAATTGGTGAATGTCACTTAGCGATGATAAGATTGTTAAAAGTACAACTCCAATCAATGCTTTCTACAACTGCAAATCTCATACCAAAGCACAAAAGAACAAAAGAAAAAGGAGTACATCAAACTGAATACTCAAGTTTAAACTTCAATAAGTGATTATACAAATCACCATATGTACCATGTTCAGATATTAATTACGAGCTAGAAGGTACCAAACAAGCAGAGAAAAGATGCAAGATAGACAAATCTGCTTGTGCCACATATGCTAGTATTGGAGACATAGATGACGAAACCATTCTTGTTAATTACCTTCCAGGCATAGAATGGTACGTGATCCTCTAGGTAATCTGCATGAATCCGATTGGAAACATTGACCTGAGTTTTCATTTCAGAAAAGTAGTTAATAAGCTTTTTTATTGTTAGAAAAGTAGTTAATAACCTTTCAGATCCATAAGTATCTAGTAGCAAAAGCCTAATTGTATACCTCAAGAAGAACTGGACCATATACAGATTTATTAAATTGATGTTGATGCTCCTGAACCCAATTGTAAGCTTCAAATATCTTTTCAACACCACTACTCTGTAAAGCACGTAATCTTTTGTTGTTTGCATTCTCCATCTCCTTCAATCTGCAGAGTAATGCAAGAATGTGTAAGAGCTTTCAGTAATTTTATAATGCAATAACCATAGCAACAAGTCCTGATATTTACTTATCAGAGCACTGCCTGAATGCTGTCCTATTCCGATCAAGGGATCTCTCCATTTCTGATTTCTGAGACCTTAGTTCTCTTGCAGCATCTTGCAGCTCCAAAATTTTAGAACCCAAGCCATCCTGTAGAGTTTGACCAGTTCAGCAACATAAATTTTGCAGTAGGCAGAGATCAGTTAGGGGTATCTACATAAAAAAGGCTACTCGAGAATAGTTAACATAAGATTTCCTTGAAATTCAATAATCAATCACATACTAGCCATCCTAAGGCACGTAACCTCATATCTAGGGATGTTGCTTTAAAGCAAGTATAGTATAAGACGATGCAGTAAAGCAAACTAAGAAGCCTACAATTTTATCTCTAGGAGGTTCATAAGGAGGAAGATTTGCAAGCTCCAATTCGGCAGTTCTAAGATCTTCTTGGGCTTTCGAAATTCTACGTTGACGAGATTCCTCTTGCTTCTTGAAGTCATCCATTTCATTATACTTTCCACGCACTTGAACATCCTGATATATCAGAGAAAGAAGTAAAAATGAATACTGTAGAGGAAAAAGAAATAATCAAAATGATAAACTTATTGAAGCTCTGACAAAATACCAAACGATTGTCCTGATCCAGAAGTTTCATACGCTTGTTGGCATTGTCACCCAACAGGCCATTCATTTTTTTGCATTTAGCATCTCGTTCTGCTTTCTCTTGCTTCTTTTCCCTGAGACCGAACTGTTAAATTTAAGGAAAGAAAAAAACTGAAGGCAAAACAAGATATTTTAAAAAGAAAGGTGGAGGCTCGATTTGGAATTTACTTTTTGATCAGTATCAATTTACTAAAACAGTGGGGTGCCTTGAAATCTGAAATTTTCTAGTGACAGGAAACTGCAAATTTCCCACTACAGAAATATGAACCGCATATTGAAACGAAGAGACAAAATTCTAACTCAATCTATGAATTACACAACAAGCTCGCATACTCTATAGGTTCCATGAGTTCATTCAAACTCTCAGCAGCTTCATCCAGCTTCATTTTGGCATCTTGTTCTTGCCTTTTGGCTTCCAGAAACTCAGGCTTCTTAGCATCGTACTTCAGCCATGGCAATTTCTTTTTCATGGTTTCAGCCTATAAACATATGAACAGCCAAATTTATTTTAATTTACATTTCTTTCTTCTTCTTTTTTTTTGGGGGGGGGAGGGGGGGGAGATCAGTAGGACATCCTACAAGCCATATGAATAGTCAATTTACAGCTCTGATCAAAGCTTAGGAAGAAGCTCCACACTTACCTGTGCTAGGAGGTGCTCTCTTTGACGGAGACGCTCGACATCTCTTTCAAGTTGAGAATTGACTTCCCTCAACTGATCCAGTGTCTCTCTCCCGCTCTTCACAGTCTAAAATAGATAATGAAATTTTTCATTCAGTTTGAATTGTCAAAAAAATAAGGCAGGATGTTTGCTTGGTTCACTAATAAATGCTTTGCAATAAAATTTTCAAAAGCTTCCACAAATTGGTAAGACAGAACTAACTCGTTCAGACTTCTTCAGCTCCTCACTCTTGCTAATAAGATCTCTATGCTGGACTGGTAGCCGAGGATCACCCACAGCTTTTTCAGTCTCTTCAAGGAGTTGAACAGGAGTTAACTTTGCAAATTCACAAACCCTGTCTTGAGGTAGAAACTGAGGTCCTCCCCATCGAATAAGGATATATCAGCCAATAGATCATAAAGACAAGGAAAAGAATCTCACAAGAGAGAAGTAAACTTTAGTTTAGTTCAAGTTCTCTAACTTCTTAAGGTAAAATATATTATACTAGTTGAAAAAGAATAGTATTTCCACTATTCACATCAAAACGAATAGCATCTTTCTGCATATGGAAAAAATTTAACTTTCCACTTTCCATTTTACCCTTAATGATATAATTTTATAGCCACATAAATGTCATGAGCTGTTTAAAACCACAAGTTTCAAAAGTCTTTCTTTTTTTATTACACTCTAAGCACAATCAAACAATGTCACACACAATGGAACAGATGAAGTACTTAAGACAGTTAAAAAGATGTTATAAAAATTGTCTGAAGGGCTAGAGATAAACAAGGAAGAGACAAGCAGATAAAAAGAAAAGCTTATACAAAAGGTCAATGTAGACCAGGAAGTGAAAAATGTAAAACCAAAAGGATAATGAGGAATTTTCTGAATACATCAATGGTCTTCCTTCTTAGATACTTCTGATCAAGGCACAAAACAGTAACCAAATAAGATGATAAAAGAAGAGACTTTGTGTAGCGTGTACTAGAAGGAATTGCAAACACTCAGTATGACATCCGCTTAAGGCCAAGAGAAAAGTACATAGTGTCATCGAATAAAGTAGGTACTTCCTAAACCTAATCCTTGAGACTCTCCTGACAGCATAAATGGCGCAACTGTACCACATTGGTAGAAGGCTTGAGTACGTAATGCAATTAAAAATTATCACCTGCATGAAACCTCCAGAGATAACTCTGGTTCAAACAACTGTGAACTACCATGCCAAAAAGGTTCGAGAATAGAGTAGCAGCCGTCAGCAAAACCAAGTAAAACTGTTTGTCTTAGTTTTCTTTTTGGTGTAGACGCGAATTTTATATAAGATGGTTAAGCTCATTTACTGCCTTACAAGACTAATTCTGGTTACTGCAAAATGGACATAATCAACACCAGGACCTGAGGGAGCATAGTTGTTTTTTCTTCTACTGTACTAGCAAGCCTGGTGTTGTTTTTGGTATCTACATGATACATGCACAGCACCATCTTATTGCTGGATATTAGTAAACCTTTTATTGTTTGCTGATTAAAAAAACAACTGTGATATGCCATAACTTTCTATTTAAGGATTACATGCACGTTAACAATGCACGTGTTATAAGAGAAAATTCATAATATTTAGAAAAGAAATTCACTTAGTAGACTATAACATATTTAGTCAAAATCATTCTGTGGGAAAAATTACTTCTAAAGAGTTGGTAGTAATCCAACTGGTATACTATATAAACTGAGAATTATACCCTTTTCAAAAATAAATAAATGCAAAAACTTGATAGTTTCAGGCGAACATTAAAGCTTCCTATTATTTAGGAGCATCTGGTTCTGCTATACTAATCAATAATATCTTGATGATATACAACCAAAGCAACTGGCGTTCAGTGGTCACTATATATCAATATTGGATCAGTAAAACAATAAAAGATCATTGGCAAGAAAATATCCACATGCTACATCGTCAAAGTGTTTTCATAGCAAACTTAATTTTTTAATGGAAAATTCTCAAAAATCAATTTTTCACGAAGATTGGAGTTTAAGTTAGAGGAAATTCCTTTTTCTGGGACTGGTAAGTAGTAATTTCATAAATGACAACAGCCACGCACTATGATAGTGCTTGTGAGTTACAAGTTCTGGGATCCCCTATACAAAACAAAAAGAAGGGATCCCATCTGTAAACAGAAGAAACTCAAATCCTGTAGTGAGCTGATGAACTCTAACGTGTTGTCTTCATCATTTACATCTTGAATGTTGCATTAGAAAGCCAAAAACCACAAACATCTGTACTTTAGCAACTGCATCAGGAAACTCTTAAAACTCCTATTTCAAAAACATTCGCACCATGCATGATGTAGAAGCCATGATTGATTTTTAAGCACATTCAACCTGAATGGTGCTATACTGCACATACATACCAGCATTCACTTAAAGCTGGTAATTAATAAATTTATCCTTTACGGATAAAGAAAAACATGCCCATCATGCAACAAGCAAACAATTTTCAATAATGGGAGTTGAGCAAACATGGTCTTGTTAATGTATTTCACACTTGACTTTAGAGATCCCGCTAGTGTGTTTTCATATTAACATCTTTTGGGAGAGGGGTGGATTTGGGTGGGGATATGTAGGTTCCAATAATGTTTTAGCAACATAGCATATGTGTCCTCTATGTTGAACATCCAAAAGAAGCTGACAAAGAACTCACTTGAGTCAAATTGTTAACTTGGATATTGAACCTTTGAGTTATATCAGTTATGTTCTTCTTTGGCACAGCTTTTCCTGAAACAGAATAAACACATGTAATGACTGCAAAAAGCATCTCATGTTAAATTACATTTTCTTTTCAACTGATTAACAACATCCTTATCTGATCCCCAAAAGTGTTTATCCGCCCAAAGAGAGACATGACATTACAGAAAGTAGAATAAAGAACCTACTTACGATTCAAAGAACTTCAACCAAACATATGTCGGAACTTCCAGTTGAGGAACAGGAAATTCTTAAGATGATAATAAAAAATATTGACAGAACTAGGAAGAGATCTGCCAGTATATATAATAGGGAGAAAAATGATCGTATCTCATTAGTACAACCAGCTCCTGACGACTAGCTTACACCAAATAGAGGTAAAATAGAAAACAAAGAATTAAAACGATTCCACTGTTGTGCTCATCTAAATAGCGCCCTTGGAATATTTGATTAAAGCAATATGGTGAAATGCAATGAAGCAACATCAAAGTGACAGCTTATGATCTCCTCCCTAAAGTACCACCTGTCAGAAGTAACAACCTTCCAATCTCGTTCCTAAACTACTGCCAAAGCTTTGAACTACATAAAAGCCATTCATACTCTAAGCAGAAGCAAGACAAACTCCAACTTCATAAACTTGAAGCATAACAGACTGAAAGAGGAGGGCAAAAATGGCAAACAAGATTCACTATTTGTTCTATACAAGATGCAACAATTTGAACCTAATTACACAAAAGAAGAATATTCATAATTAGCCTAACTTCAACCGAGAACGGTGCTGGTAGGAATCTTAGCCTTCTAAGGAAAAAGATGGCAAAGGAATGAGGAAACTGGGATAGGAAAAAGAGAGTTGAAAAGGATAGCACGTGAATACGCCCAAGCTCCTAAATTTGAAATCTGACAATCAAAAGATAAAAAAGATATAAAGGTCGGAAAATATGCATCATTCATGTTGAAAAGAATGAGAAAGTTCCAGGAAATAGAAGCCTTTGTTTTCACTCGTATGGATAAATGCAAGAAGCCATCCACTTATAACCTTAATCTATAACATATTATGACATAAAAAGAGTAAAGCAAATCAGAAAGACTTGTATCATTCGAGTGGCCCATCATCACAAAAATAGCAAGTTAAACAGCTTTCTAATTGAAGCACTCATTATAGATAAAGAATTCTTTACCATTAAAAATCCACTCAGATTTGTTCCGTGTATCTATTTTCCGCGTGATAGTTAAATGTTCCTCCTTGGTTTCCCCTCTCAAGGAAATCTTGATGTACCCCGACTCCTCCCCGCGTTTTACAAATGCTCCAATACTAGAAGCCCTCCCCAAAAGCTGCAGTTTTAACACAACTTTCATCTTGGTAAAAGTTCACCCATGAAATTCACATGTGGTATAATTTTTCATTTCCTTCAACTTCCACTTACCTGAGGCTCACCACCAAGACCAAGTGCTATCGCACAGACTAAAGAACTCTTTCCAGAGCCATTTGGTCCAATTACAAGATTTAATCGGGAGCCAGGTTTGCATGTCAACTTGCTGAACGTCATGAAGTTATGAAGCTCAATCTCAGTTATGTTTCCTGGCATATAATCATCTTCTCCCCTGCAGATTATAACCAAAAAAAAAGTGCAAAATAAGCATCCCAAACAATAAAGCTAGTACTTTAATTCAACTTCCCTAAATATAAAAATGAAATCCACAACTATAACTAGAAATATGTAAAGTAAAAGACTTTTGAAATTGGTTTTATATGTTTTCAAGTGAGATTATATAACAAAAGGTCGAATAAACCCTAACTGTTACTCAAAATAGGAAAAGTCCGAATTATTTTTTCAAAAAGCACCTAGAAGGGAAAAAAGGAGTTATGGATCAAAGAAAGCTGCGAAAGACCAAAGTTTTAGGTAGTGTAAGTGAAAATTGTGTAGCACACACCTGGTGATTTTGGGGCGTTTAGCGCGACGTTCCGACATTAAAGTGAAACGTGGAGAACGAAGGAGGAATCGGAGAAATTAGTCGGCGAGAATTCCGCGATTGAGAGCTCGTTAGGGTTTTCTTCGCCGGAGGAAACTCGCCGATGACTGGTGAAAGAGAGTGGAGACTGACAGTGGAAGAGGAATTTGGCGCCAAAGGGGAAAACGTGTGAGATGAGAGCATATAATAATGCTTTGTGAATTTGTGGGACCCTTTACTTACGTGCCAGAGAAATATTGGTTCGTCAATAATATTGGCCAATATCTGGAGGGAAAATAAGTTGTAAAAAAAACAAAACAAAAAAAAACGAGTTTTAACTGCAAACTTTATTATTCGAAAATACAACAAAACCATTCGAAATAAATTTTCATACAATTGTTACAAATGTTTCTCAAAATATATTTTTTTGATAAATAACTTTAACATGAATTTATTTTTAAAAGAAGTTCAAAATCTTTCTGAGGACTAAACCAAATAAGATAAACAGACCACCAATGGTATATTAGAAAATTGCGAAGAAAAGAGAAATGAAGAGAAAATCATACATATAAGAGAAAATAGAAACTGAAACTCAGTAAGAAAATGTTTTTCCTTTTGCAGTTCTCAAGTACAGTTGTATATATAAAACCCCTTAAACTTGCCCAATTTTTTCATTTAGACACTTAAATTATCCCATGTTCCCGTTGAACACTAAACTCAAGCTTTATAGCCTGTTTGGCCAAGCTTCTCAAGACAAAAAAAAGTGTTTTTTTCCCCAAAAGCACTTTTTTTCCTAATTTGAGGTGTTTGGCCAAGCTTATTTGGAGAAAAAAAATGTTTTTAGGAAGAAGCAGAAGCAGTTTCAGAGAAGCAGAAAAAAATAGTTTCTTTCTAAAAGCAGAAGCAGTTTTGGCTTTTCTTCTTACCTAAAATACCCCTTAACAAAATATAGTATATACCAAAATAACCTTTAAACATAATACTTAGGATATTAATTTATAAATATTTCTTCTTATTTTTAGGAAACTTTCTAATATATAGTGTCTTTAGGGGTGAATGCTTTTATATTTGTTGAAGGAATTTTAATATATTTAACTTATATTAAAAGAATCAAGTACTTTTTAATTTTATTTTCATATTTTACTTAAATAAAATGAATTTTTTTTAATTATTGCATGTAATAACAAAATTTGATATTATTTATTTACTTATAATATTAATTATTAAGTAAATCTATTCGTGTTCTTATTCGTAATTTGACACTTAAAAGCACTTTCTAAAAAGCTTGGCCAAACACAAATTATTTCTCAAAAGTGCTTTTCAGACTGATTAGCCAAACACAAACTGATTCTCTCCAAAAGCACTTCTCAAAATAAGCTGATTTCTCCAGTTTGACCAAACAGGCTATTAATATGTCTATTAGACACATACGGCTGACATGGCAGTGTGCGTGAACCTCACCTCCAAGAGCGTGAATGGTCAAAGATTTTATTTTTAATTTTTTTGTCGTTTTTCCTTCATCTTCTCTTTTCCCTGAACAGACATTGACATCACCATAATCACCAAATCTTCGCCAGCCTGCCATTACCTCATCACTTGATGCAAAAAAGGGAAGCGTACCATTAAGCAAATAATTCAATAGCATAAAAAAACAAATATTTGGATCATTTTATTCTCTTCCTCTCTTGTTGTTAATTCCGGATAAATTTGCTTACCTCCGATGTAAGTCCGGCAACATTACTACTATTACAAAAAGGTGCAGTAGTTTGACATTCTTCTTTTGCTTATTTATATCTACATTGAATTTTTCAGTTTGGAGTTTTAAGGCACAACCTATTACTTTCATTACAAAAATCTCTGGCAACACAAAGCTTAATTTACTAGAGATTTTGACAAAAAAAATAGTATTTTCGAAGTTATGATTCATGGTCTTAATGGATTCCTCATCGTTAATGACTGTAGCTACTAATAGAGAGGTTCATTAGTTTGACTTGCTTTTCCAGTAAAGAGAATTGTTGGATTGTCTTAGAGTGAGGGAGGGCAACATGTAGTCTCAGATGAGAAAGAGATCATCCGTAGGGTTTTCGATAGTCGGAGGTGGTCTCAGCGTCTCACTCGTGGGTAGATGGCGATGCCAGCAATGAAGGGGAGGGCGAGAGATTCCGGAAAACATAATTGAAGAAGAATTTTCTTCTCTAAAAGAGAAATATACATGTCGCATATTGATTGGTCCCTTTTTCAACATACCAGGCGTTTGAAATTCACACACCTTGTGCTTGTAAGAGATTATCAATTAAGTGTTTAATAGGCACCTTTTCAACAAACATTATAGTAATATGGGTTAGTTCAAGTATTTAAATGAAAAAATCGAACAAATTTAAGGGACTGCATATGTATTTGGCCAAAAATTAAATTAAACAAGTTAATAGTTTGATCCAAAATAATTATTCCCTATGAAATGTTACTTCAAGTTAATAGTAATAATTATAAAAGATAACAAATTATTACACTACTTTGTTCGAAATATGTAGTCAAGATTCAAAAATTCGTGAAAATGAGCTAATAGTTCTTTTAAGAAAAATACTAGTTACGAAATTGGGGATAAGGCAAATTATGTTGAAAAGGCAAATAATGTAAAGGGGGAAAGATGGTGTCATGGTCAGTTCAGTCGACTATTTTAAAATTTGTACCGCATCAATTTTTCGATTATTCTATTATGTATAATCAAAATTAGACTTTTCGAAATCGTCACAATCATGTTGGTTTCTCTTCGATATCGGTACAATTCAGTTAATTTCTGTATTTTTTTTAATTGTCATGTAAAAATCACTAATAGAAGTAGAATGCAATAGCATACGTACTTTTATAGGATTTTGTGAAACTCTCTAGACAATTTATTGTTTAAAAGGATGATTGGATTAAGAAATTGATATTAGGCTAGAACTCCATATTTTTACATGTAATTTGTCTCGCAGTATACCTCAATATTGTTAATTTTGGAATAAATATATGTGACTCTAGCTTAATAATGATGTTTACATGTGTAGGAGTCAATTTGAAGTGATTTGGCAAGCTTGCGTAAAGTGAAATAAAATAAAATAAAATTGGAGAGTATGATTTTGGTGCCCAGGATGGCGCCATGCACTAACCAAAACGCCAATGGCAGAATAGCACAAAAGTGGAAAAATGTCGGCATTCAGGTTGGCGCCAGGCGCCAAGTGAGACGGCTAAGGGCGAATTTCGTCCTAATTCGGCTAGGACTTGGTAGTTTCGACCCTACACGCCCCCAACATTATAAAAGGAGTTCTAAACCTATTTCTTATGGGACAGGCAAAAGGTTACGGGAACACTTTGAAGCAACGAATCACAAGAGTTTATCTTCCGTTCTTCCTTAATCTGTATTTTAATGCTCTCAATTATTACCATGATTGTAGTATGGTTGTGAGTAGCTAAACATTCTCATCTAGGATTTGATGGAACCTTTTGGAGGATGATTTCTTGTTACGTTTTAATATAATTTTGCCTTTGAATATCTCTACTTGTTCAACTACGTGTTTATTGCTGTTGATTGAATGACCATCAATTGACTGTGCCTATTTAGTGATTATTACTTGAGAGAGGGTACATATTTAGGTAGTTGTTGAATAACATCACTCCTCAAGTATGTGAGAGATCAATACGGAGGATTTAAAGGCAGGATTAGAGATAACCAAACCTTGGTGCGATCGTAGTGAGCGATAAATTAGTGTCAGCTACCGTAGTTCGAGACAATATGTCTGGTAAATTGTGGTAGTTGCTCGAGCAAGAGAACTACGATACCCTAAAGTACTCATGATCGATAGAGAAAACTTAGGAGAAATTATAGAAGACACAGCGGAAAGGATTCCGACAATTGGGCAAATCATAACTTTAGACCTCCTTAATATTATATTCAACCCTTAGTATCTTTAGTTTTTTATTTACTATTTAATTTGTTAATTAATTAGTTAGAAAATATAATCTTATTACTTAGGAATTGTTCGAGCTTATCTTCTTAGTGATAGCAAACAGTTGTAACTAAACTTTAGTTCTCTGTGTGATTCGACTCCGGACTCTTAGACAAGATATTATATTTGCAGCAACCGCTTATCCTTTTTAGGACTAGAGTTCGGCGTGATCAAATTTTGGCGTTGTTGTCTAGGAGCTAATGGTGTACTTGTAGTTGTATATATTGCTAGGTTTCAAGTCTGAACTGTTTTTTAGTATTTAATTTTTTTATTTTAGTTTTACTTGTTGATTTGAGAAACATGGCGTCTTGAAATTATGGGAGTTTTGATGTTGGTAATTCTACTTTTGATCTCCCTCGTACATATTGTGGAGGATCCGCTCGTGCCAAAATTATCAATATATTCCCGAGAGTGAATTATGTGCACCAACTCAATTTCATGTGTGGAATGTGTGTGATATGTGTGGTGGTCAAGATGATCACTTTTATGATTGTGCTTATATTTCTTATCCTCCCCAACCCTTATTATGATGGTTCTACTTTTACTTGTGAAATTACTAGGAATAAAGAACTTGTGGATGCTGACCTAAAGGAGATCAATGATATGTTAATGTGACTTGTGGAACAAAATAATAAGACACAATTACAGATACTACGGCAAAAGGCAACTATTCACAACTTGAAGGCTCAAGTGAGTCAAGTAGTCGAAGCTTTGAATGTTCGACAAGTCAATATGGTGGATAGTAGCCAAAAATAATGTGAATTAGAGTCAACAATTGACACTCTGATGGATAAGACCAGAGTAGAATACCAACAACCTAGCCAACTAGAATTTGAGGATGCCGATGTTGAAGGTGTGACACTTGAGTCAACCAAGGACATTGAGGATAAATATTCAGTTGACTCTAGTGTCATTAGTACAAAGGATGTTGAACATCTTGAAGTTCAGGTATTTGAGTGTGTTGGACATCATTCCAAATACTTCTCTACATTGTGCTCAGATGGTAAAATGAGAATGGATCCTTACGAGCGTAAAAAGGTAGACAAGGTGATACTCCTGAGCTTAAAGTCAAAAAACGCATAAGGAATTATTTAACTTTTGACTTTCAAGGCTTTACACCACCCCCAAGAGCATGATCATAGAGCAGAATCAAAACTTGAGGGGCAATTCATAAGTTCGAAGTGGAGGCAGAAAGTGATTCA